GTACATTAAAATAGTGTAGACTTTAGATTTAGAGCAACTTTAGAGCAAGCTTAATAATCCTTTGCTCAATGGTGTGCTCAGGCTAGGCCCAATGAACAGGATCAGTCATAAGAGCTTGAAAATGTCCGTAAGGTTTTAAGACATCATTTCTTTGAGAAGTCTTGCTTAGTTTCTCTGTTTTGTAGGTTAAAGTGCTCCTTGGCCACAGAGTCATTCAGGTTGCTTGTGGAAGCAGAGATGCTCAGACTCTTGCTTTGACAGATGAAGGTAAGAATATCTTGTTCCAGAAGCTTTCTAGCGTATGGGAACACTGTGATCATTGTTTGACCTGCAGTTTGGTGTTTGTTAGGTTTGGTGTTTTCTTGGGGTGATGGTGATTTTGGAAAACTGGGCCGAGGAGGAAGTGAAGGATGCAACATTCCTCAGAACATTGAAAGACTGAACGGCCAAGGCGTTTGTCAGATTGAGTGTGGTGCACAGTTCTCATTGGCACTGACCAAGTCAGGAGTGGTATGGACATGGTACGTTACGTTTGCCAGAAAGTATTAACAACGCAATTGCTAAGTATGTGTTGTATTTATTGGTATTTGACTGTCTCAAGTCCACCTGTGCCTTGTCTGTGTGCTTTGTCTTTTAAATTGGCAGCTCTTTGAGACAAGATGTGATCTGTTCAATTACTCTAACACTGTGTCTTGTAGCATGCGGTTGTGTATTGTACTCTGTTAGGGTGCCTGGGTCTTACTGAATTAGTGGAGGAAGGGGAAGATCATTCCCTCTCTTGGGAGCAGTAAAGAAATGTTGATTCAAGACTTTGGAGTGGTGTGGGAAAAGAACCTGAGAATCTTAGTGTGGAGTATGTAGCCTACAGCTAAAGCAGAGACTGAAAGAGTAAGGATATAGTAGAGTAAGGAAGTAAGCTGAAGTTCAGAGGAGGTGGGAGGAACTTCCTTGGAAGCTCACGGACTCTACAGAGCTCAGAAGGCCACTGAGTTGTTAGTAATGATGCCTCGAAGCAAGAGCTGGTATGAGGCGATCACTGAGAGTTATTCAGAAACCCTTTTTATTTTTCTTCTGTTTGTCTGCTTGCTTCTGCTTTGTTTTGAACGTAAATGTGGCTTTTTGTGTTTATAAACCTTTCTGTAAAATTTGAGAGCTTGCTGTGTGGCAGATCAGCTTCAGAGCTCTAATCAGATCAAGGTCTTACCCCATCCTTGTGTAATAAGACTATGACCTGTTTGATGTACATCAAAGCTAGGAAGACTTAAAGTGGTTATTTTTGTTGTATTATTTGTCAGCAATTGATGAATGATATGAAGACAAACCCACAAAACTTCTGTTGTTGTAAGTTACTTCTGTTCTTAAAAGGGAGAAAAGCTTTTAGCAGAGATGTCGTTTCTCAGAGTGGCCACTGGAACCTGTATTTCTCTCTCTTGCTTTCCCACCTCTTTTAAATTCTTGATTGAAAGGAGTAAGAGAAAAGAGAATTTGGCAGTCTTTAAGATCTCTTTGCCAAATTCTTTTTCATTCCTTCCTTCCTACAGTTTGTCTTAACACTGTTAATGTCTAGTCATAAAATCTACAGCTATTTCATGACATTATAGGTCTACAAGAAGATTTTTGGGTCTGTTTCAGCCGTGCATGTCTGCACTTCAGGATGCCTGAGTAGCTTCTAAACTTCTATTCTTTTCTTCTTGGGTTTGTACTGGTTTGAGGGAAAAATCACAACTTCTGTGTTACAATTTTAGATAGGCAGCCAGTACCATACATCATGTTCACCTCCAGCATAACATAAACCTCTGTGAGGAAAATTGGTGTTGGCGGTGGTAAGCAGCAGAACTGAGTGAAAGATTACTAAAAACAGTGGAAGGAATCTCACGGGTTTTTTCTTCTTTACTGATCTTAGAGGCATTTTAAGATGTTTACATTCCTTTTGCGTATGGTATATTTTTAGTGCAGTTTGTGTATAACAATTTTAGAAGAATTTAAATTATGGAGGCTTGAGAACCTATATTAAGGCTTGCAGTAGTGTGAAAAAACTCAATTCTGAAGATGTGTTAGTTCCCATGTATTTTTTTTATGTGAGTAACTTGTTAAAGGGTTGGTTGTTAGGTTGATAGGCGTAGCTCTGTCCCAAGTCTATCAAAACCACAACAATTTTGTAACTATTTATAATTGCAGTGTTTCTGCAACAGACGAAATTAAATGTGATCACAGTTGCACTATGTACAAAAAAAAAGTCATAATGATTGCCTGTTCTATACTGAGGTAAAAAGTTACTGAGTCATGTAACTGCAGTTATCCTCATTTTTAGGCCTTTGTAATTCGGATTTGAAGAATTCGCAGGTTGGTGCTTGTGTGTGATCCCAGTGGTAAATGAAGTATTTTGATTTGGGAAGCTGCATTGACAGAAGAATGTGCAAACAATATAATTGTTTGGAATTTTATGTTTGCTATCTGTTGCAGGGGTAAGGGTGACTACTTCAGGCTAGGCCATGGCACAGATGTACATGTACGAAAGCCACAAGTTGTGGAAGGACTGAGAGGTAAAAAGATTGTGCACGTGGCTGTGGGCGCACTCCATTGTCTAGCAGTTACTGACACTGGACAGGTACGTTGCACATCGCACTCCTTTCCCCTTTTTTCCTTGATCCAGAGGGGAATAAACTAAACTGTTGAAGAAGGAGAGTATAACAACGTTGGTGCTGATGAAATGGAATAAAAATTTCTAATTGTATGTATTTGCTTTTTAAAGTCCTGAATAAATATAGGCATGATTGTAATTTGAAATATATTAGCTTTCGTATTATTATTGGAGTTCAAATGTTGTTGTCATAGTAGCTTTTGTAATATTTTCCTAGTTTATGTATTATCTCATGCTCAATTTCCTGCTTCTCACTTTTGAAATGCAGAAGTATCCTGGACAGGTTTTTCTGCTGTGATGCAGCATTTTCATTGTCATAGTATCGGTTCAGATCCACAATGTAATTACTATGCAACTAATTCTTCTAACTTCCTGTTCACTGTGAACATTGAATAATTTATGAATCAGCAATAATTTAGGAATAATCTGATAAAGTGCTGCTTTGATTTTTTTTTTCTTTTTTTCTTGTAATGTATGATAATGCCTGCATTATTTAACTAGGGGAAAAAAAAAGTCATGACAATAGGTTCTCTAGTCTCCTAAATTAATAATACAAATCACTAAGATTCCTTTGTAGGAATTTTTAAGAAAACAATTAAATGGGGCAACCAGTGAAGCAAAGTAATATGTGGAAATGTTTACTGGCAGGTTTACGCTTGGGGTGATAACGACCATGGACAGCAAGGCAATGGAACTACTACAGTCAATAGGAAGCCCACTCTTGTCCAGGGCTTGGAAGGCCAGAAAATCACTCGGGTTGCTTGTGGGTCTTCCCACAGTGTAGCGTGGACCACAGTGGATGTAGCTACACCATCTGTTCATGAACCAGTACTTTTCCAGACAGCGAGGGACCCTTTAGGTGCTTCTTATCTTGGTTGGTATTTATTGCCTTACATGGTGGGTTGTTTTATGCCATTGGAGAGTTAGTTGTGTGTGTGGTTCAATAGGTGATAGAAGAGTGCAAACAGAAAACTTTACCAAAAAAAAAAGTAATCAAAACCCAATAAAACCCATACACACATCTAATAATACCTCTTCCTGAAAGTGGAAGTTGTAGAGGACTTGTTCAGAAGTAGCATTAGTTTGAACTTTTATTGTTCTTCAGGAAATTAAAAATGCAACATGATTTATCAAATGCCCCAGAGACTTAATCTTTAATATGGGATAGAGCTTTATGGAGGTAATGGTAGATGGATGCTACTGTAATATTGGTCGTCTTACGTTACCTCTTGCTGTAATCCTTGATGCTACTGTTAACCCTTTGTTTCTAAGGTAGGTGACTTAAGAATTAGGAAGGCAAAAGAGCAATGTTTTGTGTTGAATATAAAAGCACCAAACATTTTGCCAATTAAGCTTATTCATGAAAAAGGCAATGTATTTAAAAAAGAGCAAGAACTACATATATAGGATATTTGATTAGTATTTTTAAAAGTACCTAATAAATATTCTTGCTATGTGAGGAATTCTTGTGTAAATAAAACTTGGTTTAGATGCTGATCACCAAAATATTTATATCTGTATTACCTTAATCTCCATGAGTAAGTAACAAGGTGGAACACTATTTTATGAAAGCTCTTGCTGCAAAGCCTCAGTATTGACTTTAAGGTTGTAACTGTAGGCACTGCAGTTTGAGAATCTACTATAGAGTTAGTTTCACAGTCATCTTGCTGACTTAACAAGAAATTTGATAAATCAATTCCAGTTACTTATTACACCGTTAAAAAATGCTTGCCTTCTCTCCCCACCCCCCCGCCTCACTACAGGTGTTCCTTCAGATGCAGATTCTTCTGCTGCCAGTAACAAAATCAATGGGGCGAACAGTTCCAAGCCGAATCGCCCTTCCCTCGCGAAGATTCTTCTGTCGCTTGACGGGAATGTTGCCAAACAGCAGGCGTTGTCTCATATACTGATGGCGTTACAAATCATGTATGCCAGGTAGGCATGCAAACATTCTTGTCTTTTGCAGAGTAAAAGATGACATGGCTTACCATCTATCAGGGTCTCCTGAGTCGGGTATAAATTGTTTCACAAGTTTGGACTCCCTCAGGCTAGACCTAAGCTTCATTTAAATTTTCTTTTTGTGTTGATGGTTGCTTTATGGTGTTACATTTTCTTTACAGAAGCTCCTGGTGCCTGGGGAAAAAATTGTTTTAGGAATGATCAAGTAAATCATGTAAAAGTAGTGTAAGTAAATCATGATAGGTGATAGGGAGGAGGCAGTGGGGGACAGGGTGGAAAGAACAATAAAGCTTTGCAGAGCCCTCGTTGTTGGTCAAGTATTTGTGCTAAAATTTATCAAGAGGAACGTATGTAAAATAGTGGCCTTAAAACACAGTATTTAAGCATCAGGCCCAAAGAAGAATGGAGATAAACTACTCTGTAAATTCCAGAGCCTGGAAACCGTTCTTTATTTTAGGACAAGCTAGTATCATTTTTTTCGAAGTTCCACAAGGGAGTATAATTAAGTGTATGTTAATCTGTCCTAAATGATTTCAGGGATGCAGTTGTTGGTGCATTGATGCCTGCAAGTATGATTGCACCGGTAGAATGTCCCTCTTCATCACCAGCCCCACCATCTGATGCAACTTCTACAGGAAGCCCTGCAAATGGAGATGAATGCATGCTGATAGGAGATATAGAAGAGAGATTGAGCCCAAACCCGTGGCAGGACAGGAGGGGGGAGGTAAAGTGTCTATTGTTTAATAGTAAAGCTGAAAAATACCATCTTGTTTAGTTTGATAATAGCAGAGATTAAACGGTTCTTTCATGCTCTAACTTCAGGAGTGGGTACTCTGCGTATGTCAGATTTGGAAAAACTAAAATTTTAGTGTGAAATCAGTATTGAACTTTCAGAATGCACTGTCATCTAAATGCGATTGTGATGATTTCTAGTAGTATTTTAGGGTTAACATGAAAATATTAACCATTTGACCAGATAATAAATTCATTTACAGGAGTGATCTTGGGCTGGGGGGCGAGGGGGCGCAGAGGGAAGTCAAGAGTAAGGGAATATTTGACAATTATTTAACGAACTGTAATTGTAAACTTATATCAACTGATGTAGGCAGGATGGCCTGAATGGAATTCTACTCTGTTGATTCCCAACTGCTAACAGAAACAGAAAAAAGAAAAGGCTTGCTACCAAAGAGATCTTTTCCTTTAACAAACTATTAATTTGACATGTATTGTTAGAGCTTGTCTTCTACGTATTTTGGCTAGGTTGTTTCTTCAGAAGATGCTGTGACACCGTCTGCTGTAACTCCCTCAGCTGCTGCTGCCTCTTCCCGTCCTTTCATTCCAGTGACAGATGATCCCGGAGCTGCCAGTATCATTGCAGAAACCATGACAAAAACAAAAGAAGTAATATTGTCAATACCTTCCTTAAAACTTAAGTCCTCACCATGCTTTTATCAAGCAGTTTTGCTTTTTTTGTGCTTTTAAAGTTATTCTATAAATGACTGCATTTTTAAAATCTGTCCAAAGACAGAGGGAGAGGGGTTTAACACTAGGTTAATTTTGGGGCCGTATAATCACAGATTTACAAATTGTGTTTTAAAATACCTTTAAACTTCTTCAAACAAGTTGACTTGTTTCATCTTCACTGTTTAAATATTTCTGCAATTTGTTTTGTAGGATGTAGAAAGTCAAAGTAAAGTATCTGGCCCAGAACCACAGTACTTGGATGAGTTTACTAGCCTCTTAGTACCAGATGACACACGAGTCATGGTTGACCTGCTAAAGCTTGCTGTGTCCAACCGAGCAGGTGAAAAGGGAAGAGATGTTCTTTCGGCGGTGCTGTCTGGTATGGGCACAGCTTACCCGCAGGTCAGGTTTTGTTTCTGTTGCATTTTAACTGTGTTCTTTTTATTAGTAGCTTACTAGAATATTTTCTGGTATTTGAAGAGCAGCTCAACATACTGAGAAACTTAATAAACATGAAAATTTGAGTTGAACTTAAATGCATGTGAACCTTAATGTTTTTGTGCTACAAATGTCAGTAATAGACTACTTTCTCGATTTGTCATGCTGCCATTAGACATTAAAATAGGAGCTTAATGAACTGTATGTATGTAAATATTGTATATATTGGACAAGTGGCAGTGGTTATTGGAATGAAGCTGGATTAACCAAGCCCTATTTCCTTGATCTGTGGAATGTTAGTTTAAAAACTTCCATGTTGGTTTTGCATCTGAGTTTATTTCTCAAGTTGATGCAGTCATTGCTGTCTAAAAATGCTGTTAATATATTGTTAACGATACAGTAATTATTCTTAAATTTTAAGAGTGATACTTTGAAGTTTCTAGCTATTTACAGAGTATCCATTGGTGTGAGTGTTTTGGGGACAACTGACAAACAGAAATAATAAATGCTCTAATACTGGATACCAGCAGCTATATGAAAGAATTGTAACTTATTTATAGAATATCTGCTTACAGTAATGAACTGAAAATTGTTTAATGTGTCCTGTAGCTTTACCCTTTAAATATTTTTTTTCTAATGAGTAACAATGCATTTCTTTTACGATACTCACACGATGTAGTTAGTTTATGGCTTTGCACTGCTTAAAGACGGATTTGAAACATCAGAAGTGATTATGCAAAGTTGATTTTTGTATTCTTTTATTAAACTTGGCTTCACTAACTAAAAAGATGAATAATGACTTTGCTAAGGAGTGTGCATTGAATTGAGGGAAATTTTTTTTTTTAAAGGTATAAATGACAGGACAGCTTCAGATTTAAACAATGAAAACTTATGGTATCTGTGTCTGAGTAGACTAGTATTGTGGGAGAGCCCAATTGATGCTCTTCATGTAGAGGCAGTTGAGTGGTATTACTCAAACTGTTTTTCGTTGTTCTTCTTCTTTTCTTTAACCCAAGTTTGCAATGATCAGCTATGTGTATTCATGTTCTGGGTTGGAGATGTAGTTGTCCCCCTCCCACTCCAATTAGATGCATGCTATATATGCACATATACTTTAATTGTGTTTTGTTTTTTTTTTTGCTTCTAGCATTAATAATGAGTAGCTGAACAACTTTGTATTTGTGAGTGTTTCTTGTGGTTTGTTTTCATGGGTTTTTTTTTTTTTAAACCTCGAGACTCAATTTCTATTTGAAACTGCTTTTTAAAAATAAGTACTATAAAAATTTTCTCTCTAAACAGTGTTTTGCAGTATTACATACTGGTTAAATATTTACACCTTTCATTAATCTCTTGACCTATGCTTTACAGTTTAGATTTTACAGTTTGTTTTCTCTGTAAGGGAAAACAATTTTTTTGTGTTGTCATTTACTTACTGGAAGCTTATGTTGTTTGGCTTTTAGTTTTAGGAGTTTTTCTAGCTTTAAGAACACCAAAAAATATGTTTGAATGTGTTTGACTGTTTCTGAATCAGAATTCAGAAAGAAATGATTTATTTTGAATTTGGAAAGAATGGTAGTTGGCTTAGATTTTTTTTTTTTTTTGGACTAACCAAACTTACTTTTTGTAAAGTGTATATTTTCCTTTTCTTAGGTTGCTGATATGTTGTTGGAGCTGTGTGTTACTGAACTAGAAGATGTAGCAACTGATTCACAAAGTGGTCGCCTCTCATCACAACCAGTGGTGGTAGAAAGCAGCCATCCATACACTGATGATACATCTTCTAGTGGCACAGTTAAAATACCAGGTATAGAATTCTTTGACTAAAATTCAGTTAATTTCAAGCCTGCATGCATAAAATTTTTTCTTAGCTTGCAAAATTGTGTATTGAACTTTTAAAGCCATGTTATGTATCCTGTTGCTATAATAAATTATTTCTTAAAACACTTACGTACTGCATGAACAGTATGAACGTCTCAGTCTTGTGAAATATGCATTTTTGGATTCACTGACTGTGACTGCAGCTGCATATCATTGCTGTATTCTGTTTAGTTGCAAAGCTGAGGAGGACTGAGTCTTTTTCAGGGTCAGTAATTGAACACCTGTCTTCTAGTCTTGACCATTAGGAAAATGCTTTTTTGTTTTAACACTGTCTTTTCACTTAGTGCTTCCTTGAGTATGTTACCTAGTACTTATCAAAAGTTACAGGCAACAAAGAGCTATTTGCCTTAACTGTAGATATATTTTTGTCAGCTTAGTTTGGAATGTTCTAGATAGAGTTTTCTGTCTGCTAGCCCATTCTGACATGAGCTTGCTATGATGTAACCTTTCAAAGAGAAGAAATTGCAGACAAATAATGCCATTAAAGCAATGGAAATTATTTTTATTAATGAGCACTATGGCTTCCAAACAACTGTGTGTGACTTCATGTGGATTTCTAAAATACTGCATTTGTCTGTGGTATTGATTGGTCTGTAGAAATGTATAAACTCTTTGTTGCTGTTTAGGTGCTGAGGGACTGAGGGTAGAATTTGATCGCCAGTGTTCTACAGAGCGGCGTCATGATCCACTCACCATAATGGATGGTGTCAACAGAATTGTTTCTGTCCGATCAGGTGATGAGAACTAGAGCTTTTCAAAAATGTCTTGCATGATTTACCGTTAAATGCTGAATGAAATGTACCACTGTTTGTGACTGACTTATTGTGAGGGTTATGACAATACAAAAAAGAGGAAAACCTATGTAAATTCATAGAATAATAGAATGGTTTGAGTTGGAACGGACCTTAAAGACCACCTAGTTCCAACCCCCCTGCCGTGGGCAGGGACACCTCCCACCAGACCAGGTTGCTCAAAGCCCCATCCAGCCTGGCCTGGAACACTGCCAGGGAGGGGGCAGCCACAGCTGCTCTGGGCAACCTGTTCTGTTTTAAACCAAAAAAAGATGTAGGATCTAGACGCCGACATGTAGGAGTGATCTTGCACTTTTGAATGTAGAGAATCTCTCAGAAGAGCATGTTGTCATTCTCTTCCTAAGAGCAGTTAGAGTGTAAAAATTCAGTGTTTAGCACCCCTGCCAACATGTGTGAATTTCTGTGTAATCAAAGTATATTTTAACAAATTGGAACACAATTGGAAAAGGATACTTCTTTTGTTAGCTTTTTTCTGTTTCAAGTAATCCTTAAAGAAACCTGAGCTTGCATACAGTCAAGACAAAAGCTCTTCTGCTGATGAATGCCCGAAATAATAGCTAGGCTCTCTCTGTTTTCTACTCTGGCCTATGTATGTGACACTACATGAAATCTTCACTTTTAAAATCCTGTTATCTCAGATTTCATTTTTAAGCACTATTAATTTGCAGTAATTTTTAGAGGAATATTTTTAATCTCATCAAATTTTACATTGAACCTATCCATACGTTACATCTTGTGCAAAGGTCTCAGTAGTTTCTGCTTGTGCTTAACGTTTCTGAGCAGTCATGATGTGGGATTTTATCATTAACCCGTTTTTTCCCAGACAAGTTTCAGATGCTTGTGTGTTTCATTACTGAGATGTTTGTGGTTGGATTCTTGGTTGGAAAAAGCTGTAAAACTTTATTTAAGGTGTGTGTTATATATTTTTGTAGTATGAAAAGGTAATTTGAAAATAGGACAATGGATTTTAGTAAGATCTCATAATTGTCTTTTGAATGCGGTATTAAAAGCACCGAGGGTATCTCTGAGCAGTGCTAATAAGTAGAACTGTTTTAAGACGTGTAAGTTTTGTTGATGTAGTATCTTTATAGTTACGTTCATGTGCTTTACATAGCTTTTTTTCTTGAATAACTTTGTGATGTTTATAGTACCTAACCATGGAGGGAAATTGCTGTTGATGAATGGCTTGCATATTGGCTTGGACAGGTATAGATGAATATGTTCTTATTACCTACTGTAACAGGTCGTGAGTGGTCAGATTGGTCTAGTGAATTGCGGATTCCAGGGGATGAACTAAAGTGGAAATTCATCAGTGATGGCTCTGTGAATGGTTGGGGATGGCGATTCACTGTTTACCCTATCATGCCAGCTGCAGGTAAGGTATCATATACGATGTTTACAGAAGGGCGAGAGAGTAGGTTTACTTTTCTGTTTTTTTACAGTTGCTTTTATTGCATAATGTTTACATGCCACAGTTCAGTAATTCATTTACATTCATACTAAGAAAACATTTTTGTTCATGCTTAGGTAACATTTTCAATAGGGTCCTGAGAGGTGCACTTGTGCATAGGGAAGAGATAAAAATATTTTGTAATCACTCTAGTTTGCGTCTTCATCAATGAAGAGAGGATACTTTGGAGGCACAGTTAACCTGAAATTTATTTTTTTTTTTTATGCATCTATTTTGGAATTAAGTGATTTATGTCATGAAAGTGCCTCTTCTAATGCCATCAAAGGCAGGTTGAATGGACCAACTCAGATGCAGACTGGCACTCTAGACTGCTCTATGTGGCCAGCTGAATCATGCCTATGTTCTGTTCTTATTTCAGTCTGAGGATAAATCTTCCCCACCTTTTTGTTGGTTTTGCTTTTTGTTTCTTGCAGGCCCCAAAGACCTTCTCTCAGATCGTTGCATTCTTTCATGTCCCTCAATGGATTTGGTTACGTGTTTGTTGGATTTTCGCTTAAATTTTGCTTCCAACAGGAGTATAGTTCCTCGCTTGGCAGCTTCTCTTGCAGCTTGTGCTCAACTGAGTGCCTTAGGTAGGTGTAGTATTAAAATTAAGTCTTATTTGTTTGAAGTTAAAATGGTTGGGTTTTTTAATAACTTCTGTTTCCTCAGCTGCTGGCCACAGAATGTGGGCCTTGCAGAGACTACGGAAACTGCTCACAACAGAGTTTGGCCAGTCTATTAACATCAACCGGATTCTAGGGGATAATGATGGAGAAACACGAGCTTTGGTAAGAAGGCAATGGCGCTCTTATCTTCATATTTTTCACATTAAGATGTTTGTGAAGCATTAAAATTTTAGCCCTGATGTACAACATTTGTCTTTAATAGCAAAATAGGAAATATGCAAATGAATAGCCTTCTTACACAGGTCTGCAAGTCTGTAAAGGTACTCTGTTTTAGAAAAAAAAAAAAGGCTAATTCCAATACTGTATAGATGTAGTTTTGGAATTGCCAAAAAGTGATAGAAATACTTTTGTATTAGGAAACAGATGGAAATGATGATACTTCTCGTTACTATCGGTAGTTTGAGAAGTTATTAATATTTTGTCACAGTCATCTAAATAACGTACTCTTTGTAATTTGTACAGTAAGACTAACTTTCTAGTTCTGTGGTTTCTCTAGAGTTTCACAGGGAGTGCTTTAGCTGCTTTGGTTAAAGGTCTTCCAGAAGCTTTGCAGCGACAGTTTGACTATGAAGACCCCATTGTGAGAGGTGGCAAACAATTGCTCCACAGCCCTTTCTTTAAGGTAATGGGGTACAATCAGTAAAGAATTCATTAGTATAGGTCTGGATTTATTTTTGTGAGGTGTGGTAAGCTCACCTAGTCCTATCAGAAACATTTTCTGAAAAAATCAGAATACTACTTCTAAAAGGAGAATCAAATATACAAATAAAGAATAAGGATTACCTAGCTAGGCAGAGGTAGGTAGGTCAGAAAAACATCTTGGAAGTATAGCAGACTACACTTTTTGATAAATGATTTCAGAGTTTTTTAGATAGCAGTGTTCTACATATTTATTTTATTTATTTATTTATTTATTTATTTAAATACTCTGAAGGTTTTATTTACATCTAGTTGGAACAAATGAGAATGGCCTTAAAAGGAAGGCTATTCAGTTTTGGGCCCTGCATGTCAAAGTAAAAATAAACAAGCTGAGGAAATCTATAGAAGAGCAAGAAGAATAAAAGGCTGAAAAAGCCTCCTGTGTAGTAAAAGTTAAACTAAGAGGGCTTATGTGTCTTTAAATACGTAAAAGTTTATACAGGGACAGAGTAATGCATTGTTCACAATCTTCATCGGTAACATTCATTTGAAATTGAATCAAATTGAAAATTGATCTAATTGTAGGAAGGAGACTTAGTTTAGAAGTAGAAGGTAAAATGTTCATCACATGGTACTTGATGTAGAAAACTTAATCTAAGAATGTTTTTCACAGGGGATTTGTGAAGATTTCTGGATTGGAAGAGGAAATTAGATACATAACCATGTGAGATAGTGTGGGTACACTTGATGCTGCCCCCTCAGTGAGGGTAATGAAGATGGCTCTTAATGTCCCTTTCACTTTACATGTCTCAGATTCATGTTCAGGCCCTACTGGTCTATGAGCTGTTCCACTGCATCAAATGCACATTACTTCTTATTACACATTTTCGGTACATCTCTAAAATGGTTTTTGATTGTCTGCAGGTGCTTGTGGCTCTTGCTTGTGATCTGGAGTTGGACACTCTCCCTTGCTGTGCAGAGACGCACAAGTGGGCCTGGTTCAGGAGATACTGTATGGCATCCAGGGTTGCCGTGGCTCTTGATAAAAGGACACCGTTACCTCGCCTTTTCCTTGATGAGGTACTGCAGGAATATTTTAAATGGTTCATGGAACACATGAAACTGTTTCACTTAACAAAATATACTGAGTTTGAAGTATATCATGCCAACTGAAATAGGAGTAACTGATAGTTCGAATAATGTTGTTTAATTGAAAATATTTTACAGGTGGCAAAGAAAATCCGAGAATTAATGGCAGATAGTGAAAATATGGATGTTCTTCATGAGTGCCATGATGTCTTTAAGAGAGAACAGGATGAGCAGCTTGTCCAATGGATGAACAGGTTATTTCTTTCACCTGTCATTGGTTTGGTCTTGTGATGTTTCGTTGTTGTATAGTGATAAGCTGCATTGGGTTTTTTTTGTGAATTCTTAAAAGCTGTCTTAAAATTTTGTTTGTTTTGCATTTTCTGCAGACGACCTGATGATTGGACACTTTCAGCTGGAGGCAGCGGAACTATTTATGGTTGGGGTCATAATCACAGGGGGCAGCTTGGTGGGATTGAAGGGGCAAAAGTCAAAGTCCCAACTCCATGTGAAGCTCTTGCTACCCTTAGACCCGTGCAGTTAATTGGTGGTGAACAGACTCTGTTTGCAGTGACTGCTGATGGGAAAGTAAGGATACAATAAATGACTGTTTGTTAGACTCCCTTGAAATAGTTCATCGTCGGTCAGAATGGGTTTGGCTAAATAAAAAATAATGTGCCTATCACAGATTTATTATTGTTGTTAGTAGTAGTGTTTTTACTTTATGTTTTTAAAGAAACTGGGCTGTAGCAACTGCCCCAGTGCAGTCTAGGAGTTGAGTGTATTATAGCATTAAATGCATGAAACAAGACATGTATTTTAGTTCTCCATTCAAAACTGCGATCAGACTTTGGAAAACAAAGCTGAATACAAGTAACATGCCCACAGAGTCCCATGAAACAGCACAGTAAAATGTGATGGTGATTGTGGCTCTCTGACGGGGAGAGGTGTAGTTGGAATCTGAGATGGTTCACAGTAGACTAAGTGCTTGTAAGTTAGATATTGCAGGATCTAATTTGCAGGCACTTAAATCCTGCGGGAAAAGGAGCACCATGCAGAGGTTTAGCATAAGGTATAGGGGAAAGGAGGAAAAAAAAAATCACAAATTTGAAAAAGTCTTAATTTTGATACAGATGGCAGCTTTGTGTTAAGGATGCGATTGAGAATTTTAGCTAGAGTTTTATGCAACAGTTAGATTCATCTAGTGAGCTACTGTAATGATTCCTCAGCAGGCAGTATTGTCCTTGTTAATGGTTCACAGAAGGGTAAGGGACGGATTAACGACATTGCTTGACATCATTCTGTTGAGAGAAATCACATAGATACGATATACAGATAGACAAAAAGAGAGTGAAAGCAGTACTTAAAACCGTATTTACAGGATGGAAGGGTAAAAAGCAACTGTATTTAGGTGTCTATATTCCACAGAAGAAAGAAAACTAGAGTAGTGCTGCTTGAAAGGTGATAGATGATTTTGTAATGTTATCACACAAAGCTAATGTTTCTTGATACTTTTACAAAACCAGCCTTAGGATTTAAAATGAAATCCATTAAGCCAGTGACAATTCATATTGACTTGAATGTAGCCATATTTTTCACAATTTTTTTTGTGAAATATTCCAAAATATTTCTTATTTTTTTGGAAGAGGGTGTAGAGGCATGTAAGAAACTTTATTTTCAGGCTTTCCTTTAACTGTATTGTAGTATATGTGGATTAAGAACTCTATAGCTATAGTGAATATTCTTCAAGAGGCAAACAGAACTAAATTTTATTCTTCACTTTGAAGCTGTATGCCACTGGATATGGAGCAGGTGGTAGGCTTGGAATTGGAGGAACAGAGTCAGTTTCTACTCCAACTTTACTGGAATCCATTCAACATGTGTTTATAAAGAAGGTTGCAGTGAACTCAGGGGGAAAGCACTGTTTGGCACTGTCTTCTGAGGGAGAAGTTTATTCTTGGGGTGAAGCAGAAGATGGTAAACTTGGTCATGGAAACCGAAGGTAAGTTAACACTGAAATGTTACTTTTAAAAACTATTAATGGAAACTTAACTATAGCTGTTACGTGTTTGAAGTGTTGTTTGAGTACTGCCTGTATATGGAAGTCAGTGTTAGGTAGTGATGTGGAAATTACGTTTTTAAATTGGAGAACCCCAAAATACTTTTCAGATAAACAGTTACGCTGATTTCTGTAGTTAGATTTTGTGTTCTTACTTATCTGCGGATGCTGAAGTCTAGTGGCTTTCCTTTGGGATCTGTCTTGTAGGTATGTGGAACTTCAAGGCACTTCAGGGAACAAAACTGCCGTTCTACTTCTGATCTTCACGTCCGTTGTTGCGTACATTAAAGGAGAAGTTCTGTTGTGTTAGAGATAACAATGTTCTGATTCAAAAAGAAAAAGGAATGCTGAAGTCCAGGGGGGAAAGCCGTACATTTTATGCTAGAAATTTTGATAACGTATCTTAAATTGGAGTAATTTTCGAGGGTAAATGCTTAACTTTGACTTGATTTTAATGGAAGTGGTTTTGTAGTTTCAGCTTATCGGTAATGCTGTAGTATAATGTATGGTAAAATACTTCTAGCTTTTATAGGCCTCTCAAAATATTTCTGAATGACTATTTAGACATAAATCTTTATGGTATTAAACTGGAGCAAAAGCAAATACTCAGTTATTTTAGATGTCCTTGTACTCATTTTAAAAATCTCTCTCCATACATTGGTGAACATAAATGGTCCAGTCTAAAAGTTTTGTCAACACAAATATTTTCATTTCAGCCCTTGTGATCGTCCTCGTGTAATTGAGTCTCTGAGAGGTATAGAAGTGGTTGACATTGCTGCTGGGGGAGCACACAGTGCATGCATTACAGCTGCAGGAGACCTTTTTACATGGGGAAAGGGAAGATATGGACGCCTTGGGCATGGAGATAGTGAGGACCAACTAAAACCTAAACTGGTAAGAAATCTTTGGAGTTCTTTACAGTCTTATTCCAGTTCTTACCTTCTGATTCGTAATATTTTGCATTTCTGCTTATGGAGAATGAAAGCGCAAAATGTTGGCATGTGTTTGTAAGAAATTAATAGTTGCTTTAGAAAACAGGGATGGATTGGAGGAATAAAAAGAAAGCAGAGCTGCAGAACGTTGCTAGAGGTCACTAAACAGCTTATAAGGAATTTGTTTGAGAAAACTTAAAGAAAACCCAAAATCAGACACCCCACCCCCCAGTAAGTAAATTCAACCCCTTCACAAGAGTAGTTTGCTCTGAAAGTAACAGGTGAGCAACTTGTCTGCTGGGTCCCCTCATTGTTTACTTCCTGGAAAATATATCAGCGATTACAGTGACAGCCACTTAAGTCACTTACAGACTGCTTTTTGTCCTGATGTAGTAATTATATTCTTAATTATCCTGGTTGAATACTGAGATGTAACTGAAGTATATACTAAGTTAATAAGAATTTAACCTAAGTGATTATGAAGTATTTCATTGCTATTTGCTAAAGAAATTTGAGTTAAGCAATTATTGATGAAACAGCTAACTGTTTCCATTTGATTCTTAGATGGTAAATCTGAGAACTTGGACAGTATGGAGTGTAGGAAGAATGAGTATACTAATTAGCTGACAAGTAGTTCAGACCTGTGGACTAGACTGTAAGAGCTTTATGTTAGACTAGTGGTATTAAGAAAAACTGCTCTGCCTTTGAAATGAGAGTTCATTTTGCTACCTGTGTTATCTTGCTGAAAGTTCAGCAAATAAGATTACAGTAGTTGAATCATAGAATCATAAGGTTGGAATAGACCTCTGAGATCAAGTCAAACTGTTGACCTAATACTGAATGTTAGTTTGTTATTTTTATTCATAGCTCTGTGCATGTATTTCTATTCACGCAAACGTTAACTTTTTTCAGTGCTTGGATTTGTGGAACGAGGTATCATATGTTCTTAGTCCACTTTGGGACCTAATCACCTATATCCAGATGTCCCCCTTCCCCTGTCCCCCAAAAAACCAAGGTCAACCCACCTTTCCTATACATCTTTATACATCTTTCCCCCTCCATGTTCTTGGTTAGTATGAAAATAATAATCTGTAGATGAGTTGAAGTATGTGACGTTCCATGCTGCTTTGGATGATGGATTATCATACCTGTAATCTATTTCAAGTAGGTGTGAGGATGGGGACGATGTGATATATGTGGGTCACCATCCTTTTACTTTGTGAATCCAAATCCTATACTTCATCACTAGATGGCAGCATATCAAAAGATGTTGATTAAATTAAATTATGATACAAGTGCTAAAAAATTGTAAACTAGTAAAACAATGTTTGAAAATAAGTCTTTTTTTCTTCTTAATGTATACAGTACTCACCCAGAGAGCCTGAAATTATTTCAACAGAATATAGTCTTTGATAACCTTATGTGTTTTCTATGAATTGTTTTCCCTGACTTATTAAGTCAGGAGAACTTAACTAGTAAACCAGTTAAAAAGATTAATCTAGTATTTAAAATACATAGTTATAATTTTGCTAGTTTGAAAAGAGCAAAGCCCTTTGAGTTGCCTTTATTTGCTTGTTCCTGTGGTGTTTCAGACTTGTAGTGAAGCACCTCTCCAAGTTTGGTCTGTCATCTTTTCTGGAACTAAAAGACTGAGTCTCTTACTGTTAACAAAAATAGATGATTTCTTTACAGGTGGAAGCTCTCCAGGGCTACCGTGTGATTGACATCGCCTGTGGCAGTGGAGATGCACAGACATTGTGCCTGACTGATGATGATACTGTCTGGTCCTGGGGTGATGGAGATTATGGGAAACTTGGGAGAGGAGGCAGCGATGGCTGTAAAGTACCAATGAAGGTAGTTGAATGTAAATTTTTCATTGTTTTAGAAACCGTGAGGTTGATGGTGAATGCTGAAGACAGATTTACCAGTACGTGCGAATTTGCACCTGTCCTGGGACATCAGAATTCTTCTAATGGTTGTTAAGAATGAACTTTGTAGGCTACAATGATGAGTCTTTAAATTTTGTGCTGACTGCTAAAGTTGCACTTGAAGGTTTTTTCTTAGGAGAACATTGCTGGTTCCAGCAATATTTCTCATTTATTTTGGTTCCTGTCAAAATGTTAGATTTGACAAGAAATCTTTGTATTACCTGTGTTAATAAATTTCCATATGTCAAAATGTTAGATTTGACAAGAAATCTTTATTACCTGTGTTAATAAATTTCCATGATACTGCTAAAGTTGTAACTTCATTCCAGAAAAGGGTATTAATTGATTAAAAAGTAATCTTCCTTTATATTAAACATTTTGTGTGAATGTATGATTGACTTGGAATTTCTTCACGTTACAGATGAAATCCATGTAGCCATCTAATTTGAATTCCAACACTTGTTATGAAGATGAACGTTGTTTGTGTTTGAGGAATGTGCACGAGTGTCACTGTGTATACCTATGCACAGTGGATTTTAGATTCTTAGTCCGGAATCACACTTTATTACCTGGATACAAATATCCCCATTCTGTTTCTGAATGGACGAAGTCTACCAGCCTGTCCCAAATAACGGGGTTTTTTTATTGTGTGATGTAACACATTATGAAAACAGTTTGTTTATGTTTCATCAATCATTAGTCCTGTATGATTGATTGTAAAATGCCATAAGGACCTACACAGAATAAATAGGAACAGTGTACTGGAAGTTTAAATATTTTTACTATGTTGGCAGAATCATATCCATATCATATGAGCTAGGGATGATAAATATTGAGTATTTGGAGATGGAGCCTTACTGTTTCTACTAAGGGGCAATTGCTGAGTAACTGCTGGCAAAACAAAGTTCATTCTTAACCGCGATAGTAGAGATGATCCTCCAGAGTTTGCCAAATCTGAGCTTCTACTTCATGTTTAAGTGGTAAATGGTAGAAAGGTGAAAGGAATAAAATTCTGCTAAATGATCTACATACACATTTTAATTTATAAATATATATATAGACACTTAGACACTTGCACATTACATCTTACTTAAGATAGTGCAGTCTATGAAACTACAGCCTCTTTAATTAACTTCGATTTAATTTGATATTATTTTCCTAGATTGATTCCCTGACAGGCCTTGGAGTGGTTAAAGTAGAATGTGGATCACAATTTTCTGTGGCTCTTACTAAATCTGGAGCAGTATATACGTGGTAAGTGCTTTATAGTAGTTATTTTGACAGTGTTAGATGTAACCTTGTCTGCAACAGGTATTAGTGTTACACTGCCTTCACTGTTTTGATCTGCGCCCCACCCATCAAAACTTTTTTCGAGTTCCTCTGTCTTGATTAGTAATAAAATCTGTCACTCTGGGAAACATTTTGTAGTGCTATTTGAATGAAAAATCCAAGTATTTTGTCTTGGAAACCTAAGCACAGAGCTGACGTTCCAGCCATTGACCACTGCCTGATGCAGAAGTTCCAAGGAGGTCAGTAGAAGTATACGCTTGAAGTGTCGTGCAGGGTGGAAGATGCTAGTATAAATAACATTCTCATATATTATCAAAATTGTGTCTAGCTTGTGGTAGCTGTAGTCTGAGAATTTGATTTTCATTCATTGTTTTAATTTTCCTACTCTTCCAAATATTATAGTTTAAACTGCTAGGCACGTGTTTAAAAAGAGTAAGCAGAATACCTTCCCAACATCCTTCTGCCCCCTTGTTTGCATGGCATTAGAGATATCCTTAAACTGTACAAAGTTCTAGTCTCTGAGGTCAGGAAACGTACTCTTTTTCTGCAGGTGAATGCTTTTTGTACTTGACCCTTTTAAGAGGGGAGAAAAACAAACAACCCCCTGCAAAAGTGGTAGAAGGACCTACACAGAATAAGTAGGAGCAGCGTATTGGAGATTCAAGAATTTTTATTATATCAGCAGAATCACATCCATGTCATAGAAGCTAGGGATGATTAATGTTGAATATTTGGAGAATATTTTGTTATTGGACTGTTTATCAGTACATTTACAGATCAAATATCAGACACAGTCTGTCGTTCCATTTTTTCCACAATTAAAACACAGTTTTGAAATGTTTTACCTTCTCTGTGCAGGGGCAAAGGAGATTATCATCGGTTAGGCCATGGATCTGATGACCACGTTAGAAGACCACGACAAGTGCAGGGACTGCAAGGAAAGAAAGTCATTGCAATTGCTACTGGGTCTTTGCATTGTGTTTGCTGCACTGAAGATGGTATAAAAATAAAATAATTTACTTAATTCTCAGTACTGAATTTGAAAAAAAAAAATATTAAGCTTTATTTTTTAGTCAGCTGCTGGTAGGTTTTCAGCACATTTTCAGCACAGACATATTTTGTGTTTGCAGATGTTGCGATTTCTTGAGCAGCAAGCATGTCGCCGATTTTAAAATGATCACATACAACCAACTGAAGGTTTCTAATTAATAAAAACCAAAGAATTTAAGTTTCATAAATGCCAATGGTCAAAGAAAAATATAGAGCTCTCAGAGTAATTACAGATTGGTTATGTAGTAGAATGAGTGGATTTGGCTGCTTTTTTAGTTTTACAGGGTCTTCTGAGCCTGCTGACGTGTTTAACTTGCTAAATGAAGCGCTACACAAACAATATTGCTTCTTACAGAGCGGGTTGAGATACTGCATGTTCTTTGTAGCAGACTCACTCCCACATGTAATTAACAAGTCTGCACAATAACTGAGTGTTTCATAGGTGCTAGTAAAATAGGATATAGCTGCAGAAAAATGAATGCTCGGAAACCAGGTTGCTATTTTAAAAGTGTTTTCTAATTATCTTGCAACAGTAAGCACCCATTTTAATGTCCTCTCTAGTAATACAAGCTATTATAGGGTTTTTTCTTTTGTCTCATACAAAACGTTAAGCCTTTTCTAGTTCTTTTTTTATTACCAGCTTTTTTTTGCTGTGAAACTACCAAATACAGGCTGTTTCTGGTGTGTCTATTGTTATTTTTGGGCTCCACCACTCCCTCCTGTTCCGGAACAGAACTTTAAAGTTATAAAAACTATGAGGAAATAAATGCATCTTATACTGGCTGCTCTACATAGACCATGGGCCTAACCATGTTATTCAAGATTTATGTGCACTAGATAGTGGATTTCGGGATGGTCATCAGTCCTAGAAATCTTGATTACAGTCCAAGGCCTCATTTGGTTAAAGGATTTATAAATACTAATTAAAAAAAAAAAAGGCAAAAAGCTTCTATCTTAGCTTCAGAACATTTAATTATCTTTATTGGTTTAGGGGAAGTGTATACATGGGGAGATAATGATGAAGGGCAGCTTGGAGATGGAACGACTAATGCCATCCAAAGACCTCGCTTGGTTGCAGCACTTCAGGGTAAAAAGATCAACAGAGTGGCCTGCGGCTCAGCACATACTTTAGCTTGGTCAACCAGTAAACCTGCTAATGCTGGCAAGCTCCCTACACAGGTAATATTTTTGGCTTATGGTGTTTGGATTTTAAGCATACTTAGTATGCTTGTTGCTCATCTTTCAGTAGGTACCTTTTGTTTCTAAATCCCTGCATAAGCTTGGTGTGCTTCGATTTGGCTTTGAGTTTCAGCCAGTTATTTTGTTTTACTTCCATATTTCCAAGGAAGGATTCCAGTTTTCTGAGGTGAGAAAGCCTCTTCCTTCAGTTGTTAATCCAATGCAGAACAGTAACTCAGTTTGCAAATTGGCAGGAATTTTAGTTCTGTATTCCAGGTATGAAAAATCTTATGCCTTCCAAGGGTGTTTTTCATTACTTGCTTTACATTGAGAAGATTGTTTTTTGAATATTCTTTCAGCTGTAATGCCTGGGTGTAGTGATGACAGGATGTACCCATTTTTTTGCGTATGTTTATCCATACACAGAATTGTAAAATATAGAATAGCAAGAATAGTCTGTCATGTTTTTAATACTTGTTTCAGTTTAGATGGATACTGTTAGTATCTTTTATAAACAACTGAACTCCACGTATTAAGTTTTGACAGTGTGAATAAGCAAATACCTGAATTTCTAATACAAGTTTACCTGCAAATCTTATAAATTGTTGTTCTGTTTACTAAAGTAAATATATAATAAATTTATATTACATTTGGATGTCGTTGACTTATCACAGGTTCCTATGGAGTACAATCATCTGCAGGAAATTCCCATCATTTCATTGAGAAACAGGCTTCTGCTGTTGCATCACATTTCTGAACTGTTCTGTCCTTGCATTCCAATGTTTGATCTTGAAGGAAGACTTGATGAAACTGGCCAAGGACCCTCAGTTGGGTTTGACACATTACGGGGAATACTGATATCACAGGGAAAGGTATTTATCAGAATGTTTTTAAGGGAGTGATTTGTAACTCTAAGTGAATTGTACTGTTTAAACTGTTTCTGAAGAAAATAGAACTGTATGTCTCAATTTGTTTTGTCTGTGTCAAATATTGCGTTCTGATTATGCAAATTTCTTGCTTTGTGAATGTTTTCTTTTTTTTATGTTTACCTCAGTTTTTCATGGGAGCACTTCCTTGTCTTGATCTTGAAAATAACTTTACACTATAAGTCTTCAGTTTGTAGTATAGCTGAATTCTTCTAGAGTATTCAGTAGATGCTATCCTGGAAAAAAATGTGAGATAGGTATGAAATGGTCATTGTCTGCTTTTTCTATTTCAGTTGTCATCATCAGGTGATATATTAGTTTATCCAAAGCTCTATGCAGGTACAAATGAGTTTTAGACTGGGCTAAAAGTGAAGACAAAATACCTAGGAGTTCAATCTCAAACCGGTAAAGGAAGTGCATTTTTGTAGTTGTAAGTAAAGTCAGTCATCAGAAAATCTAGCTGATTATAATGCTTCAAGGCTACAACACTTACGCTGAACTTCAGATTTGGAAAACCTTTAAGAACATGACTTGCCTTCAGTATAATCATCAGTTTTGTATCTGAATTTTCTCACTGTCATAGTAACTCGTCTAACAAAAGATGATAACCTTATATAAACAGACAAAATCTGCTGGGAGATATATTTTTAAAGAGAAGCAGTTAAGTTTCCCTCTGCAGTGCTGTTCTATGTTTTTAAGCAAGACACATGGCCTGTAACTAGACTCCATAGCGTGTATTATGTCAGGGTCTCTTGTGCAGTAGAGAAATCCAGCAGAATACGTGCTTCACAGACCAGGAGAATACCACATATTTTTAATTAAAACTTGAATTGGAAAAAAAAGAAAGGGAAGTCCTAGCTGTTCTGTTCATGACACTTGTGTATTAGTGCTATTAATAGGGAGACTTTAAGTATATGATGTTAAGTATAGGAATGGGTATGCAGGAGCACATTAAACATAATTTACTTCAAGAGTCTGCCAAGCAGTTACAGAAAGGCTTCAGATATAAGACAAAATGTGATAATCAGGCACATTTTATGTCAGAAGCGTTCGTCAGAAGTACGGGAAGTTGTGATGCCATATTTATATCTCGGTGTTTAAGTCAGGCTTATCTTCAGAAATCCTAAAGACTTGAAAATATTTTTAAAGCTTCCTTGAAATTGACAGTATAAAATTAGATCTAAATATTTAGTGAGAGGACCTCAGATACTTGAATTTGCAGGAAAAGTTCATTTTTTTAGTTTATTTTTTATTTACTGCCTACCATAGCAAGGTGATCTCATCTTTGGCTTTTTTGTTTGTTTTTCTCTGACCTTAGTTACTCTCCATATACATATATTATTCTGGTGTAGACTAATTTGTACCTGCGCTCAGTAGCATGTTTGTTGCTTCATAATAACTGGATCTGGGTGCAGTACAACCTTTCAAGTCATGGTTTTGAGTGATAGAGGGGTGACTTTGTTCTTTACTTATTTTAGTATCCCAGCTGTTTCAGACTTGAATTGTATTAGCACTTCTAAAGAAAGACTCAGAGGTGTCTAGTGTTCTGTGATGTTCTCAGAAGGAAATTCCTGAAGGATAATGCAGCATCAGTTTATTGTGCTGAGGAGTCGGGGTTTTTTTTTCCTCCCTGAGTTGACTAAGTATGTGTTTATCTATGAAATATGTGAAGTGTTCTTACTCGATTGCTGCTATTGTAACTTTTCTTTTTTATTTCCTTTTTTTAGGAGGCAGCTTTCAGAAAAGTTGTGCAAGCAACTATGGTGAGAGATCGTCAGCATGGGCCAGTCGTGGAGCTCAACAGAATACAGGTATCTTAAGTTGAAGTTTTGATTTAGCCCAGAGTGCTATACATTTGTCAAGTCCCTTTGCTTCAGCTGTTTGGCGTCCAGAGTACTGAAGAGTTGAATTTTTATCAGAGAATCAAACAATGAAGAAGTGAATGCAGCAAGGGCTGCTCATTTTCTTTTCAGTATGTTTTCATCCACACTGTAGTTGTTTAGGGGGTGGGCGACACTTGCTGAAATACTAAGCGAATTATTCAGGCTCTAACGAGCGAAAGATGTCCTGTTTGACAAAGGACTGCTTTTTCAAAACTCACTACATTAGATAATTTGAGAGAGTAGTGATTCTGATGCCTTTATTACCTTTCCAGATGGTCAGAGGGATTATTCAGCTGTTGCTTTCATAACCGAGAACATGCAGGAAAAAAGAAAAGGGGACAAGAAAGAAAAAAGCGCACTTGAATATAATTAAAAATCAGGCTGATAAACTCTTGTCCTTTGCTGGTCATCACATGTGGTCATATTGATTGCAGAACTCTTTGATACAAAAGGGCTTTTTTCCTTGTCACTGACGTTATAAAATGTAATGTTGTGCCTTAGGCTAGATATGTCTTTTTTCCATAGACATTTCTGTAACGTAGAATAGTGAAACATTGTTTTTGTTTAAATGGACTGAAGCCTGGTCTTACAGAGTCCTCATGCATTTCTTTCCTTTAGTGATGGTTTTGGTTTTTTGTATATTGAAAAAAGTAAGAAAACCTACTGTTTGTAAGGTTAGAATGGAGAAATTGTGAAAATTTTGACCAACTATTTTTGTCTTGGTGAACAGAAGTACATCCTGTTGTGGCTGGACCCTGTTTCTGCTTCTTTGCCATTTTATGTGGGCACTTAAAATTTCTTGTGGTAATATTATGTGATTAAATGTTTTGTTTTAGTTTATTATTTGGGAAGTTGAAGCTGAAGAGAGCGGTGGAGATTTTCTCGTTACTTTTTGTGTGTGTGTGAAATCACGTAAAGTCCAATAAAGCAGTGTGAGTATTTAACTTTAAGCAGCAAACTACTGAGTAGGTTTTGGGCTCATTTCCTAGTGTCCTCCTACTGTTGAGTTAAGATAGGCTTTCTCTTGTATTCCAGTTCGTTACTTGAATCTGTCTTGAACTCTAGAAAAGAACGGTAGCTGCAGGGCTTCCCTTCTTCATAGCTTCTGGGGGAAATGAAATATTGCTGTAACACAAATCTGTCCTAGGTTTAGCCAAGTGAAGGTTAAAAAAGATGGTGTTCATGATCTGGCCTTATTACACAGTATCAAGTACGGGTCACAATTTCTTGAGTTAGCTTTTGCAGAGAATGAAAATGTGGATTCTTAAACTGTTTGACCCTTTATAATATTTAATTGAAGATTCAAAGCTGCTTTACGTAGTGTCAGACAGCTAATTGTCAATGTTAAGAATTTTCATCTTATTTGCAGTTGTGAGTTTAACTACAGCTAGGCTTTAAGATCCCTCTGCTTTCAGAAGGCTCTTCTTACAGTTTATTTATTATATGGTGTGGTCAATTCACTTCATAATCTTCCTTCATATAAAATAAACAGATGAGTTTTTAATTTAAAGATGTTTTCCAGATACTCACCTGTTTTTTAAAAATATTTCCTCAGCTTACCTTGTTGTTCAGTGGTTTCTTTCAGAGTACCAGAACTGGACTTAACAGCTGTCTAATTTGCAGCATAAAAGTAGGCCAAACACCACTTTTTTGTTCTGAAGTCAAGTTTTGCATGAGCCACATTCCTTTAGAGTAGATCACATTCACCTTATTTACTGCTTGGCCCTGGATCTTTTCTGTTGGGAGCCTTGTGATAGTAGGACACAGTAGTTTTATGTAGTTTTCTTGCTCAAGACGTGTGAAATACAATGTGATGGCTGTGCTGCAGCTCACCTGGTATTTCTACAGCATAAAATTGAGTATGTTTTATGCTTTGAGATGTAGCATGAGGGCAAGCTTGAACACACAGAGACAGTTTGGGGCACTGTTGGAGGACCACGTAGGGTAAAAGAAACTAAACTTGATGCACTTTTATCCATATTACTTTTGGGGAGTGGTTGTTAAGTGAAATGTTCCAGAATAGCACCTGGGCCTTGTTCTGGAAGGGTGTAATGGAAGCAGCCGAAGACTGAGCCAGAAAGTGAACTAACAGTTACATGTCTAGACAGGGCTCTGGTACTCAGGTTTACTTGCTGACCCTCTTACTAGCAGGTCATGTTTACCTTGTATCTAAGTATGGGTGTAGCTCATGTGGTGTCAAATGGACAGCGTGTTATGACCTATAGGTAGACAAATTCGTAGTTCTGTTAAATCATATCTTTGCCTTTAGATGAATGAGATTATCACAGCAGTTGAAAAGAATTTCCTTCTTTTAAAAGGGAAACAAATTTCAGTTAGTAAGGAGAACGTCTGCTTTCAGGAATGTAATATTGCAAATGATGTCCTGGTTCAGTGTTCTCTACTGTCATGGGAGGAGTGTCACACGTATGGATATATGAAATCCCACTTTAAGAATAGCTTCTTCCTCCTCACTAGGGCTCCTTATTAAATATAGGTTACAGAAATCTCACTAGCATGATGATTAAAAATGATCTAATCTTAAAGCAGGCAAAGCGTATCGATGAATTAATTATTTGTTCTTTTGTGACTGTTATACTTCAGTTTAAACACATTCCTTCTTCCTGGTTATTGTCTTCTCCCTTATCAAATGTGCTTTTAAAGAACACTTGTTTCATGACAGCCTTCACTTTCCTACACTGATCAAACAAAGCTTTTTTTTTTTTTCCTGCTAATGTAGAATAGTCTTTCTCTACTCCTCGTATCTTTATACTGTATTTTTTATGTAGTATTTCAGTTTGAGCATAGATAACTGAAACCTCAAGGTACAGGTGAGACTATGCCCTTGTAATTACCGCACTGATACTTCTCTACTGCTTCTGGAGATTGATTTCATGACATACCCTTGAATTGTGGTTTTCTTCTTCATAGATCTGTCTTCTGTATTAACTGTACGTATTTCTCTTTCTTAGCTGATTCCAACTAATAAGCTGTCATCTTTTTGCAAACTTTTTAGTCAGTATCTGAGTGCATGGCTTTATATACTACATTTCTGCTAAGTTCTGGTGGGTTGGAGAGAGTCTCGCAGCATGGCCAGAATTTCAGTGGGTACTCTCAGGCTACTTGAGACAAATACAAGGTTTTACTCTTCAGATTCAGAGAAAGAACTTAAATTTTGATCTTCATCACTTCAGAATGGTTTAACCAGATTACAGTTTGACTTGAGTGCCTCTGCCCCTTTGTTGGAATCTTTCTGCTCACAATAAGTGGTTATTCACTGAGGCAAGTTCTTGAACTTGATTCTTCCACACTTCACTGTATGCTGCTTTTAAACTGCTGCATTTCTCTCTGGTCCAAAAATAGTTGTTTTTTCACAAGCTGATATCTTCTGATGGCAGACTGTTTTATGAAAATCCTTCTTGGGCTCTAATCAACATAGTAACTTGTTTTATGCTAAAAAGTTATCAGCAAGAAGGCTAGAACTGTATTGTAAAATCTTGAGATGCTGCATAATCTGTTTTTAATAAGGCGTGTATTCAGTGAAGGTTATATCTGACTCTATTCAGTAGAGTAGGTTTCACAGGATACTTACTGCATCTCTAAAGGGGATAATGTGGAACCATAAGCTAGATGCTGTGCTCCAGACCTTTACAATAAAAAGCTAGAACAGCTGTGGTGGATTGTGGCCTAAACATATTTGTATGAATTTTTGCCATTTTTCAGTGAAGTGTTTTACTCTTTGCTAATAACCTAATACATTTTAATATGTGCATCTGTCTTTGTCAGCAAACAATATGTTAAGGTGCTCACAGAAATGCCAATAATCCTTCATGGTGTTCTTACATTGCATTGTTAAAAGTCAAATTGTAACCATTCCTGCATTTAAATGATTAGAGTAAATGAAAATTCCGTGTTGCTGTTAAATAAATACTAAATTAAATGTATAATAGCAAATGTACATGCCATCCTGTTCAGTTCAGGCAGGATTGCTTGCCTTTTTATTGTCACTTGATTAATTTGTATTTTAGGTCTGAGGTTTGAAAAAACAGTGAATTAACTACTGGTTTCGTAGACCTTCTACTCATACTTTCCTCTTTTTATGAGAAGATTCAGTTATTTCTCAGCTTTGAACTTCTTGGGCATCCAAATTTCTTAGTAATCTATTGAATTAAAACCAGCTTGTGTTGATAACAGAACTTCTTAAACACAAGGAGGACTTGAGACTGACAGCCTTTCAATAATACCTGAAAGAAATCTGGTGGATGTTTTATCCAAAGCATCAGATGTATGCAGCATCCCAACAACTGGATTTTGAGGTGCACTATAGCTTGAAATGGGACCAAATACAGATTAGTGGGATAAGTCTGGGTTATTTCTGAATGAACAGACTGACAGATACTGGTGAACTGTGTGCACTGTAGGAGTTCCTTTGCAGTCAGGGCAGGTTGAGAATATAAATTGCAGAACACCAAGGACGAAAAAAGTCTTGTGTTTCTCTAGCCTTCTGTTTACTTTCCATTTCTTTCCTCTGTATAATAGCGAAATGCTTTTTGTATTATTATGCACTTTGTATGCATTTCTTGCAGCAAAATACGTTGGATTTTCCCTGCGTGCCATTTCTTACAGATCTAAATCAAATCTTAAAATATACTTTTTCTGTAGGTGCCTAAGAGACACATTGCTCTGTGCATATATACATATGTATTTTGGTAGTACTTGCTCATTTTTAGAGACTTCTAGTAAGTATTATAGATGCATATTTAAATGTTATCATTAATGAATATAAGAATAACAAGTATTTGGTTTTCCGGCCAACAGCACAGCCTCTGATCTGTCTTAGGTATGAAAAACTTACACAGACGTTACAATCGAATGTATGAGTAGAGGTAGGATGCATTAACTAAGTGGATTGTAATCCAGAAAAACTGAATTTACTAAGGCATTGGCTGCCTCTTCAGAAATAGGGGGAGAAAACTTTGTCAATGAATTTTATCGTTGATACCCATCTGTTTGCGTTTTCCTTTAAAGATGAACAGATAAAATGCTGAGTAGAGACAGATGAACAATGAACTCTTTGAAATTAAAGATAAGTAAGGTATTGGTAGTTGAGGGAACATCAAATTCCTTTTCTAGGGAAGAAAGCCTCCAGGGTTGTCAACTGAATCATTCAGTCTAGCTGCAATGAACACACCTATTGTTTTTGCATGTTTCCAGCTCTAATAGTAAAATTACTAAGGCATAATCAGCCTCCAAATTTTTAGTTTTATTAAAAAAAAATAAAATCATCATCATTGTGGTCAGCTGTGTTTGAACTAAGATTGCCTCAAGTAGTTGTAACTACGTCAGGTCATAAAAATTACCTAGAACAATCATTCAGCATTGTGAGATCAGTTCAGGACATGCAGCGGAAGCATCTGGATAACCAGATACTGTTTTTCATGTCTGTGCAAATCTAAGCATTAGTTGAAAAATTTCTTCTCTTTAGAGGCGCTGGAATTTGCAGTGCTTATAAATAGTGATAATCATAGTAATCGCTGACAGTTGAACAGCTATGTCATAGAGATAGGACCTTTTGCAGAAGTTGCAGTGCAGCCTGTCCTGGAACCAGTAATTTTTTCTCCTTAAAGTTTAGTTGTGTCCTGTATTTATATCAGAAACAAGCCAACCAAGCATGGGTTGGATAAGCAGACAGTGAGGTGGGTTGAAAACTGGCTGAACAGCCGGGCCCAGAGGATAGTGATCAGTGGTACAAAGTCTAGTTGGAGGCCAGTAACCAAGGGTCAATACTGGGTCCAGTCCTGGTCAACATCTTCATTAATTATCTAGATGATGGGGTAGAGTGTACCTTTGGCAAGTTTGGGAGGAGTGGTTGATACACCAGAGGGTCATACTACCATCCAGAGGGACCTCTACAGGCTGGAGAAATGGCCTGACAGGGACCTCATGAAGTTAACAAGGAGAGGTGTGAACTCCTGCACCTGGGGAGGAACAACCCCCATGCACCAGTACATGCTGGAGGTAACCCAGCTGAAAAGCAGCTTTGCAGAAGAGGACCTGGGGATTCTGGTGGGCACCAAGTTGATCATGAGCCAGGAACGGGCCCTCGCCATGAAGAAGGTTAACGGGTGTCCTGGGCTACATTAGGAGGAGTGTTGCCAGCAGGTCAAGGGAGGTGATCCTTCCCCTCTACTCAGCACTGGTGAGGCCACATCTGGAGCGTTGGGTCCAGTTCTGGTCTCCTCAGTACAAGAGAGACATGGACATACTGAGAGAGTCCAGTGAAGGGCCACTAAGATGATTAAGGGATTTGAACATCTCTCCTATGAGGAAAGGCTGAAAGCTGGGGCAGTTTAGCCTTGAGAAGAGAAAGCTCAGCAGGCTTGTCATTAATGTATATTTTTGCATACCTGAAGGGAGGATGCAAAGAAGATGGAGCCGGGCGTTTTTCACTGGTGCCCAGTGACAGGACCAGAGGCAATGGACACGAGTGGAAAGACAGGAGGTTCCCTCTGACCATCAGGAAAAACTTTTTCACTGTGAGAGTGACTGAGTACTGGCACAGGTTGCCTGGAGAGGCTGTGGAGTCTCCATCCTTGGGAGACATTTGAAAGCCATCTGTTCATGGTCCTGGGCAGCTGGCACTAGGTGGCCTAGGTTGATCCAGGGGGGTTGGACCAGATAACCTGCAGATGTGCCTTCTAACCTCAGCCATCCTGTAATTCTGAAATAGCTATAGGCTCCTAATAGACGGAGATTTTAAGTGCTTTCATCCTCCTGGAGAGGATAGGGATATGTAATAGGAGTCTGTGATAATCTAGATCTAGGAATGGATATTAGAAGGTAATGAAAAATACTGTAGTGCTGTAACTTGACATTTGGTGGTGGTTCTGTATATGTCACACATATACAAGACATGCTGGGGACTTCTGCAGATGTTTCACTGGACACATTAGTATTTTGTAAATGTGAATCTTATGGTCTTATCTGCACTGCAATGCCAGCTGAAATACGTTACAGTGACTTTTATACTGTGCTTACTCCATAGGTAAAGCGTTCTAGGAGTAAAGGAGGACTGGCTGGGCCTGATGGTACAAAGTCAGTGTTTGGACAAATGTGTGCTAAAATGAGTTCCTTTAGCCCTGATAGCCTTCTGCTTCCTCATCGTGTTTGGAAAGTCAAGTTTGTTGGTAAGAGGATTCTCCACCTCCCCGTAGTTTGCACTTAAATTTACAGATTTGTTTGAGATTTAATTTTTTGGAGGACCTGAAGGGAGGAGGGGATAGAGGAGAACAATCTGTCTGCGTAGGCAGAGGAATGTTAGAAATTAAAAAAAAACTGTTAAAATGATTTCATAAAAAAAAAAAAAAATCGAGATTAGTGGAAGTGTGTCTGTAATTCTCCTCAGATTCCAGGGGCAACTCTTCTGCTTACAACAAACATTCTGCAAAACCTAAACCTGTTTTTCAGCTGTCTGAATTGGTAAATAATCCTGGCTAGCTGGTTTTACGGATAGGATTGTTTTTACAATTCACATATCACTTTGAGCTTTTTGATGAAAAATATTTTAGATTGAAGAGCCAGTCTATCTACCGTAAACAAGATATATAAAATATATTGACTTTCAAGTGTCACTTAGGAATCACATTGCTTTCACTTTTTCTATCTCTATTCTATTTTATTTTGATTAGTGTATAACACAAATATGTTAGTTACACACTCTGGCAAAATAGTATTTTTGACACTGTGATATATTGTATAATATTCTAGATAATACGATTTACAATGAACTGTAAATACCCAAATATAAAGCAAAACATAAAGGGTTTTCATATGAACAGATATGACAGTGTAGCTTTTAGTAAACTTTTGTTTATTTAGTCATCCCTGTGGAAGGAAATACAATTTCTTTCAATACTTCATTTATTTTTGAAAGAACATTTAATGTTGAGCCTTTTTTCTTCTCCAAGGTGAATCTGTGGATGACTGCGGCGGAGGATATAGTGAATCAATAGCAGAAATGTGTGAGGAGCTTCAGAATGGGCTGACCCCTCTGTTAATTGTGACACCAAATGGAAGAGATGAATCTGGAGCAAACAGAGATTGTTTCTTATTAAATCCTGCTGCCAAGTCACTCTTGCATATGAACATGTTTCGTTTTCTTGGTAATTTCCTAGCAACACTGTGACATTCTACTTGCATTACATAATCTGAATATTGGGAATCTTAACCAAAAAAAATAATTCAAAATATTTATGTTTGAACTTACAGGTGTGCTTCTGGGCATTGCTATCAGGACTGGCAGCCCTCTGAGCCTCAACCTGGCTGAGCCAGTGTGGAAACAGCTTGCAGGAATGAACCTAACAATTGCTGATCTCAGTGAGGTAAGTATGAAGGTCCTGAGTACGTATAACTTACAGAAGACAAGCAGGCTCTAGCATAAATTTTTCTTCGGTGGTTGACTTCCCTGGTTTCTATATACTTGTATTTTGACTGTCCTTTCACATTTTGAGCCAATATATAAGGATGACTTGTACTCAATGTTAAAACTGTAAATTTAAGTTGTTCAAAAGTAGTTAAATAAGATATTTGAATTCTAGAGCATTCTGCAGTCTTCTCATGGATTTGATTAGACAAATGTTTTGTCGTTGAACTCCTACTTTCCAGTAGATCTTTCTGTAGCTTTTACTGTCTGTGGTGCCAAGATGCAGTAACTGATTGGGTGCACACACCTACACTGTTTTGGAGTAAAAGAAAATGAGTTCAAACTAACACTGAAAATATTTTGTGTGCATGTACTGAGCATCAGAAACTTTCAGTTTCTGCTTAGCGAGCTCAGTAGATGTGGAATGAGAGTTACATCTTAGCTATCAAGAAGAGTTCCTTCCCAAATAGTGTTATGTAGAAATGTACTTAATGTGAAAGCAGAGTTATTTATTTATCAAGAAGGGGATTCCATTTGTACCAAAACCAGCATTGGACTTGGTAGAGATGATTATGTTTGTAAGCTTTAAATCCGTTTTCTTGTATAATACAGTTTCTTGACAAATGCTCCCTAAAAGGATTGAAATCTAGAACACATACACCATCCCACATCCCAGCATAAAGAAATTTTATGTAAAATACTAAGCTATTTTATGGCTTTGAAATTGTTAGATGGGTTTTGGTCAGACATTGGACAATGCTTTTGCTAGATGACACATGATGCACTGCTTTTGATATGTAAGAGATGCTGTCGTATAGTGATAGTAAACTTGGGCTTGTTATTTTCAAAAGGTTGATAAAGATTTTATTCCTGGGCTTATGTACATTCGAGACAACGAAGCTACTTCAGAAGAGTTTGAAGCTATGAGCCTCCCATTCACTGTGCCTAATGCAAGTGGTCAAGATATTCAGCTGAGTTCCAAGTACACCCATATTACACTGGATAATAGAGCCGAGTATGTGAGGCTGGCAATAAACTACAGGTTTGTTGAATAAGTCATTCAAATTATTGACACGAATAAACATTTTCTTTTAAAGAATACATAAAAGCTTTTAAACAATATACTTCTTTAACCTCTTGTATAGAAAAGTGTTTTAATATTTTCATGCATTTACAGTGTTGATTTTCTGATTTTTTTTTTTAAATTATTTTTTTAATCTGTCCAAGCAGAAAAGATTAAACTTAATTTTTAGGAAACAAAATAAACTAGCAGGTATGGCTCTAGGTTTGAATAGCTGTTGTGACAGAGCAGTTTTGGCAGCCAGTTTTGCAGGTGGAGAAATGCCCCATCCATCTAGTTCTTCCTACACAATAAAGTAGTAACTTGATCATTAAGTTGTTTGTGAAGAGAGCTTGGGTTTAGTACTACTGCTTCCAGAGTTTTTCATATCATCGATTGCAGTCAAGAGCAGTCCCAGCTGAATTTTTACTCTATTCTTATGTCAGTTACAATACACAAAACAGAATGTTGGTTCCTTGGACACCGTAAAATAAGTCTGACACCTATATGCAGACAAGTAAGTTCACCCACAGGTGCCAGAAGCTGAACATTGGACTGAAATCAGTGGGAAATAATTACTAAGTATTTGAGAAGACAGGCCTTTGGTTATTTAAATACCTAGATAGCTAATCTAGGCAAGTACATCTAAGAAGCAACTGTAGGCATCTTGTTATGTGAAGCAGTGGGCCTAGTGCCTGCTGAAATGTGGGAACTTGGATAATTTGGATGAGAAACAAATTCATAGTTGTTTTAGTCTCTTCTCCGTAGTTAGCTGCTTTAGAGAGTCCTTGAGCAAGACTATATTGTCACTATATACTTGCTTATTAGTTTGTAGTTATAGTGTCTTCCAACAACTACTGAATTACAGTCTTCATTCCACGCCCCGCCCCCCCCGCAATGTTTATGAACCAAGACTTAAATGTATTTTTGACAGTGGAGGGAAATTTCGTTTGGAATGGATAAATGATGTATCTATATAAAATGTTACATTCCTTTGAAGAAACGGTTTTGTTCTCTTGACAGTTCTGGCTATCCTCAAAGGACACAAGCAATTCTAAAGCATTTTACACTTATAAAAGGCCTTTAGGAGAAACATTTAAACGTTTAGATTAAATATCAAGTTTTTTAATTATATGAGGCCCTTGAGAGAAAAACTAACACCTGTATAGGATCCGTATGAAAAGGCAGATGCGAAAGACTAAGTTTGTCGTGACATTTTTGTTTATTTTGGTGATGACAAGCCTGAGGACAGGACTTGTCAATGATATGAATCTCTGCTCTGGATAGTTCTGTAAAACATCTCAGAAATTATTTGACAGGAAAAAAAAAAAGGCAGAAGACAAATCTTGGGTGGCAGCTGGAGCAGCAAAACATTAGGACTTATCTGTGTCTACCTTGAAATACAACAAATACAACAACAACTGTCCCCTCAGACATCATGTTTTAGTTCAGATCCATTTTTCTTTTACCATAATGTGGTAAAATGAGGGCAGAGTTTCAAAGCACAGCTGTTCTTTTCCCAAGATCATGTTGTTTCCAAATGGCATATTGGTTGTTCATGCCAGGCACAGCACGTGAATAATACTGGAAACAAAATATCCTAAACGTTGGGAGATACCTCTCCATATTGAGCTTGCTGTGCAATATGAATTGGTGTAGAAACTGTTATAAGTCAAGTATCTTGTGTTATAAATGTTTATAAATGTTCCTTGGTACATAGCTGGAGACTTGAGGAGAGTGATTAAAGTTTCCTTGATATTACGGTAATTGCTGTAAATAACTGTTAGAAATGGCATTCACGGAAACTCTGTGTTTCTGCAGACTTCATGAATTTGATGAACAAGTTGCAGCAGTTCGTGAGGGGATGGCCCGTGTTGATCCAGTTCCTCTACTTTCACTGTTTACAGGATATGAACTGGAAACTATGGTATGAATTTCTGCTTTGCTACCTCTGTCAAACTAACTTGGAGTGAGATTCTTCACTTACATTTTACTAATCCAAACCCCACATTAAATACTGTTCACAGTGATTGCTTTATGAGTCAAACGTTTTGTCCAAGGAAAGACTAAAAACTCTTTATTTGCTCTCTTGGTGTTAGTAAGGTTATTTTGATGTAGCTGAGCAGTGATGCAATGAATTATTTCTGGAAGAAACAAACAAATGAATAAAAAAAAAATCCCAACAACAAAAAAAAACCCACAAAAAAAAAGGACCTAGGAGGTAAATTTGAGCTATTCACGCCCAGTAAAATGTTTAGTTTATAGAACCATAGAATGGTTTGGGTTGGGGGGGGCCTTAAAGGTCACCTGGTTCCAGCCTCCCTGCCGTGAGCAGAGACACCTTCCTGGTTGCTCAAAGCTCTCCGTCCACCCTGGCCTTGGACTCTGCCAGGGAGGGGGCAGCCACAGCTTCTCTGGGCAACCTGTGCCAGTGTCTCACCGCCCTCATAGTAAAGAGTTTCTTCATCGTTATATCTAATCTAAATTTCCCCTCTTCCAGTTTGCAGCCATTACCCCTCATCCCTACCCTCCCTGATCAAGAGTCCCTCCCCACCTTCCCTGCAGGCCCCCTTTAAGCACTGGAAGGCTGCTATAAGGTCTCCCCAGAGCCTTCTCTTCTCCAGGCTGAACAACCCCAACTCTCTCAGCCTGTCCTCACAGGGGAGGTGCTCCAGACCCCTGATCATCTTCATGGCCCTCCTCTGGACCTGCTCCAGCAGATCCGTGTCTTCCTTGTGCTGGGGGCCCCACAGCCGAACACAGCACTGCAGGTGGTGTCTTATGAGAGCAGAGTAGAGGGGGAGAATCACCTCCCTCAACCTGCTGGCCATGCTGCTTTTGATGCAGCGCAGGATGCTGTTGGCTTTCTGGGCTGCAAGCGCGCATTGCTGGGTCATGTTTGGTTTTTCACCCACCAGCACACCCAAGTCCTCCTCCACATCACTGCTCTCAATCCCCACATCCCCCAGCCTGTCTCTGTGCTTGGGATTGTCCTGACCCAGGTGCAGGACCTTGCACTTGGCCTTGTTGAACTTCATGAGGTTTGCACAGGCCCACCTCTCCAGCCTGTCAAGATCCCATCCCTCTGGGTGGCATCACTTCCCTCCAGCGTGTCGATGTGCACTCAATTCCACTGTCCCTGTCACCAACAAAGATGTTAAACAGCACTGATCCCAGTACTGACCCTTGAGGAACACCACTTGTCGCTGGTCTCCACTCGTACATCTAGCCGTTGACCGTGACTCTTTGAGTGCAACCGTTCATCCAATTCCTTATCTACTGAGTGGTCCATCTGTCAAGTCTGTGTCTCTCCAATTTAGAGACAAGGCTGTTGTGTGGGACAGTATCAAATGCTTTGCACAAGTCCAGGTAGATGACATCAGATGCTATGTGATTTTTACATGATTCAGGAATATGAAAGAAAGTTTGCTACTGACCTGTGATGGGAAGACGTATATTTAGTATTATTGTAATAGGAGACTATGCACAGCACTTCAAGTATTTGAATGTTCGTTTTGTCAGTGTAAAAGCTGATTAAATATTTTAAGGGAATGGAGGGAACAAATCACCTGTAATTGATTTGATCAGACCTTTGTAGCCTGTCACTATATTTTATTTTGCAGGTGTGTGGAAGCCCAGATATTCCGCTTCACCTTCTGAAATCTGTAGCAACTTACAAAGGCATTGAACCAACTGCTTCCTTGATACAGTGGTTCTGGGAAGTGATGGAGTCCTTTTCCAATACAGAGCGATCTCTCTTCCTGCGTTTTGTGTGGGGCAGAACAAGGCTGCCCAGGACTATTGCAGACTTTCGAGGGAGGGACTTTGTTATTCAGGTAAAGTGTATGGGATGGGGTGTGGGGGTTTTATTTTAAAAAGCTAGTAGTGGAGAAGTATTAGCATGACATGACAAGAGAACAGGCTGATTTCATTAAACTGTTTATGCAGCATTGCAATGTAGATTCCACAGGGCGACAGACACCTATAATGTCTATGAATATTTTTCTCTCTTAACTTGAGCAGGTGGATATTCATTGCATTTCTCAGCCATTTGCTTCTCTGGATTTTGATAGTTTTCCACTGTCAATCGTCAGCTGTTTTTGCTGGCATTTATTTAGCATTTCATTCAGCTCAGTTAATCATTTCAGCTAAATTAAAAAACCACAGTCTTCAAATCGTATTTTAGTATTTGCTGAAGTAATACAGTCTTTTTTAGATTGTTCCCAACCGCATATTCATAATCAAAGTAGCTCATATATGTCTGTCTTTCTTTGTTTACTTAGTGTAGGGGAAAACGTATTTGGTCTCTTCATTGTTCTTTTAAGAAATTTCAGCTGCAGACTCACAAATCTAACACGCTGTTAAAAAACCCTCAGGTATTATTTTGATATTTATTTGTGGTTTGGACAGTAAATCAAAAATATTGCGGTTTTTGTTTTCAACAGGTATTGGATAAATACAATCCTCCGGACCACTTCCTTCCTGAGTCATACACTTGCTTCTTTCTCCTGAAGCTGCCCAGGTATTCCTGTAAGCAAGTACTAGAGGAAAAACTGAAGTATGCCATTCACTTCTGCAAGTCTATAGACACTGATGATTATGCCCGGATAGCGCTGACAGGAGAGCCAGCGGCTGATGACAGTAGTGATGATTCTGATAACGAAGATGCAGATTCTTTTGCTTCAGATTCCACACAGGACTACTTAACAGGACATTAAAAAAATAATATAAGGGATAGTTGTCACAAGCACTGAGGCAAAACGCCAAAATGACAATGAAGCCAAGGACAGTTTAGGTCTCTATAGAGTATGTAGTCGGGGGGATGGTAATCTTCTGAACGTGGGGGAAGTGTGTTTGCTACTCACGGTAGGATTTAAGGGTTACAGCTTAAACCATCAGCTTAGAATAAATGGCACAGCACATGGGCATTTAACATTTATTTTAAGAGCTGAAAGTGCCCCCCCATAATGCTGCACTACATTTAGAACCTTTGTGTTTACTGAAGTGTTGTAAATGTTTATATAAATATGGTAGTGCAGCATCCAAAAGGCAGTGAAACCTTTAAATTGTGGGTGCAATAGGTTTTTTCATATTAAGTGTTGTGTTCTGTGCATCTTCTTGATTGTATATTGGAAATACTGTGCAACAATGGAATAGTATTATAAATATTTCAATTAACTTTACTAGAAGTTTGTTAAAAATTTTTGAACATTGAATTAACATTATTCCTTGAAATTCTTCTACAGATAATAAAAATGGCCAATAGTTTCACCTCCACCCCTGGTTTGTATATTTTAGCTTATGCATTATTTATCTCAAATTTGATACCTTTCTGTGAACAGCATCATAACTCTTCTCATGGAAAGTGTACTGTATATAATTTGTGCCATGTAAATGCAAAAGTTATAATTTCCCTCCAAATAAAAGTTCTGCCACAGAAACAAGTAGTATGTAGTTTTTAACAGTAATGTAGCCGTTGCATGGGATGAACATTGCAAGGGCTCTACTAAGAAATGTTTCTGCGATTTACAGCTGTTGACCGAACATTGCTGGTGCTGCTCCACCGATAGTAGATGCATTGCCATAGACAGAACATGAGCTGTAGTAAACTCAGAGCAAGTCCACACAACACGTTGGTGGCAGTGATTAGGTGCACTCTGTGTATGCAGTTGTTCCTAATGCTACTATTGTCAGTAATGGTAAATTTGTTCTTGGACACCTGGGGAAAAAAAGGCTTTTGAGGAGGTGTAAGGCACAGATGTCTTGAATTGCCCATATATAAGAGGAATAAGAGTATGATGACCCTCGTATAACATATTGTCTCTGAGAAAATCAGATCATTTTACAAGGCTTGATCACGAAACATTGTGCATCCAGAGTAGCCTGTTTGAGTAACTCATTGAAGTCAAGTGGCGTTAGAGCAGGTATTACGTGTTTACTACACAGCGTATGCACTAGTTTTTCAAAGTAGGAAAATAAGATTTAGTTGTGCCAAAGCTCTAATATTTTACTTTAAATCCAGTAGAAGGTAATGTCATACCATTTCTTCAATAGTTTGTTAGAGTAGGTATATGTGAATATTTAATGTTTCACAAATCGGAGTTGATTCATTTTTATAGTGTCTGCATTTGACTTCCATTCCAGCTTCTGTAACTTTAACTGTGGTCATGAAATATGTTTTCCTGAGACTTAGTTGATACTTCAAAATAGCGGTGAAAGTACTGTTTATTGTTAAGATGCCAGAATTTTGAAATTCATTAGCTTTAAAGGCCACTATTTTAGTGCTGAAGATCTCTTGCAATAAATGGTCCTGTCCCGATCCTCTGTCTCGTTGGAAGTTCTGGAAGTCAGGCCCATGCCCTGTCCTCCAGATTTTTTCTGTCTGCTGATGGAAAAACGCTGAGGTTTTTTTGAGTCTTAAAAGATGCAAAACCCCGAAACCTTAAGCAACCTCTTTTATCTTTGCTGCTGAATTTAATTTCTCATGAGGGTAAAGAGTGGAGAATCTAGTACAGAAGTGCTCATGTGGTAGTCTGCTGTCTTTTGCCATGGTAACACTGGAGCCCTGTAGGCATCCACCTTGATCAAAGAGATTCTGTAGTCAGCTTTTCAGGAGATGTGATGGATGAGTCACGCCCAAATGCCACAAGTCCAAGGGCTGAGACGAGGTTAATTGCCATTCTTGAGTTTCAAACCCTGTTTCAGGAGCATGTGAACTACTACAACACGGAGAAGTTTTATAACTTGATTAGGAAAGAAAAAGAATGCCAAAGAGTTTTTATTCCAAGAAAAGCAAAAAGGAAGTATCTTTTACGTAAGGAGGCCGTTTGTGTTGTTAATTAGTGAACTGTGTAAGAGAAGTTTTTTAAGCCTCCTCCTTTGCTTTTCCATCCTAACAAAGAGTCTCAGGCACCCTTTTACAATGTGAAATGCTTCTCACCTGTGGCCTGACTGACAGCCAGTTGTCCTTCTTGAAAAGCCATTGTTTCAAGAGGTCAAAAAATGGGATTTACTCTTAATTGGCTTTTAGATGCAAATTCCTAGTCTGAGAAGGAAAAAGACTCAACCCTGCAAGTAAGGAATGAATTGCTGGTGCTCGTTTCCCTTCTTACATTACTTCCCTGTAAAACCAAAGATGATGGTTTGATTTACTATAAAGCTTTACTGTTATGAAATTGCACAAGACTGAGGGAAAAATCCTTTCCCATGTTCGAAATTACTCTTTGTTGCCTGGCTAAATTCCTGATACTTCTAAAACCATGTAATGGCTGCTAAACGACCTGTGGATAAGGAGAGAAGGTCATTGAGTCCAATTGGGGAGTTTAGGGGACACGTGCTGTTTATAATCATGATATTTGTTCTTTAAGACCACGTTAGTCAAAGAAGTCTTCAGGCCAGCATATACAGGTACTTGCCTCTCCTGCAAACATCTTTATCAGCAGACTATGTGCAAAACTAAACCATGCAACACTTCTAGAAAAAAGGGAAGCAGTGGCTTCCCAAGATCTCGTTGATACAATACTTTTGCTTTTTAGTTTACAGAAAATGTACAGATGCGTAGTTTCCTGTAGATGTTGCCTTTCAAGGTTAATCTCCCAATTAATCTTATAGTTAAACATTATGGTGTTAACTAAAAGATGCCAGCATGGTTCTTTTTACTCAACTGGGGTTCAAGGGTGTGATTATGGTGGACTCCATATTCTGTCGTGGAGTCATGTCCTTACCTTAAGCGAAAACTGCAGCAAACCACCACAACTGTGAATGCGACACACAAACTATTTGTGAATTGATGCACCTAATACTTGAAAAAGATTCTGCTGATTCGTGTGTTTGTCTCAAATATGAATGTTGATGGTATGTCTGCAAGGCACCATCCTTCAGCTTTGCATTTAGTCATCTGATGGCCAGCGAGTAAGATTGTGCAAAGATCTCACAGAAACACAGAGTAGAATTGTCTCAGTTGTTTCCTGACTGTGATCATCCTTGATCAGCTCTCTCCAGGGAGTTTGGGTGTGGTGCACTGGCTTTGTGACCTGAAAAAGGTTTCAGCAGAAGCATTTTGAGAAATTTGTTTGGAGGACGTGGAGTCACGCACGTATAATACAAATACAATACTTTACGATTCTCATTTGTAAATGGGTCAGTGTTAAGTGAAAAAACCCTTAATTCTCATTGGGCACTTGCATATACTCGCTACTGATGGTAAGCTTTAATAGGGACGGGGTACAGCGTCTCTAGAAAATAAAGTCTTTTTGTTTCACTGTGACAACTTTGTCAGTGTGTGGAGTTAAAAAGTGTCAATGTGGTTCAATCTCTGTGCTCAGCTGGGCTTTGTTATCCTATTTAGCAGCAACTCATAGGAAAAGAAAAGGCAAGGAAGTGTAAAATCAAAATGCAC